CTCTTTTTCTTACTTATTATGAATATGTAAGAATTTTATAAAACATAATGTAACACTGAATGCTTTGTGTGGTTTCTAAAAACATCTTAAATGGAGAACAACTCTCCAGTATTTATCAATTAATTAATTCATTCATTTAACAAATACTTATTTGGTATCTACCTTTTAGCTACTAAGGAAAGAACAATAAATGTAATAAACAAGGGCTCTGGGGTGTATAATTGGGAAGCTGTAGCTTAATAAGAGAAACAGATTTTAAAATATAATTATACAAATAAACATATACTAACTATCATGGAAGTCCTATTGTGGAAAAGCACAGGATCCCATGAGAACAATTAACAAAGATACCAAATAATAAATCAAGAGTAAGGGTATCTATTAAGGCAACCCCAAAGTAGTAGCATTTATGGTAAGAACTGCTACAATTGAGAAATTGAGAAAAGCCCAATATGACCTTCAATTTCGCTAATCCTTTTTTCTGTTGTATACAATGTGATGTTAATTCATCTAATAAAAATTTAAATTCTGTGATTTCCATTGTCCCACTTTTATACTTTCAGTTATCTTCTGAAACTCCCCATTTCTTCATATACCATATCAATTTTTCCTATGGACTTTATTTGAAACTTTTTATTTGGAAATTATTATAGATTCCCAGAAAGTTGTGAAGATAGCGCAGAGGGGCCCCATGTACTCCCCTACTCAGATTCTCCAACTGATTACATCTTACATAACTATGATATAATATGAAAATCAGGAAAGTGACATTGACATAAAGTGTGTACAGTTCTGTGTAATTTTATTGGATATATAGATTCATGTAACAAGCATTCCAATTAAGTTACAGAACTATTCCATCACTGCAATGATCTCCCTCACACTACTTCTTTATAATCAGTCACAACCATCCACATCCTTCCCCACTATCACTAACTCCTGGCACCCACGAATCTGTTCTTCATCTCTATAATTTTGTTATTTCAAGAGTGTTATATAAATGGAATAATACAGTATTATAACCTTTTAATACTGGCTTTTTTCACTCAATCTAATGCCCTTGAGAGACATCCAAGTTTTTGTGTGTATCAATAGCTCATTTCTTTTTTATTGGATTAGTACTCCATAGTATGAATATACCACAGTTTGTTTAACCATTCATCTATTGTAGGATATTTTGGCTGTTTCCAGTTTTGGGCTATTTCTTATGAACTTTTAAATACATTAATTATAGTTATTTATACTAATTATCTTTTAGGCCGACATTTGAGACTTTTACTGCTCTGTTTCTATTGACAAATGTTTTTCTCTTAATAATGATCACATTTTCCTGTTTCTTCTCATGTCTAGTAATATTTTACTATATATTAGATATTTTGAATGATGCACCATAGAGACTCTAGATTCTGCTATCTCCCCCAAAGAATGTTGAGTTCGGTTTGGTAGGCAGTTATATGACTAACATATCACCCAGAATATGTGGAGAATTGGTTTTATGTGTCATTAGGGTGAGCCTGTTTTAGGTTTTCCCTTAACCCAAGGGGAATCCCTTATTCTTGTGACTTATCCTTTACTCTTAAGGTATAAGCCTCTTGAGATTTTTATGGAAAACCTAATGTGCTTACTACCCCCACACTCCCCAACAGGCTGGACTCAAACTCCAGACTCTGACTTTTATATAGTGGACAGTAACTAAAATTTCAGTTCATTTTTCTTTCCCCCAGCTTCTAGCTATTTTTTCTTTCTGCACTCCTTGGTATTTAACCTGTACATTTGTAGTTCAGGGATCAAGCTGGGGATGTTTACACTCAGGCGTCGAGTTTCTGCTATGGCTCACTTCTGAAATTTCCAGGAACTCTGGAAGAATCAAACTCCATGATCTGACTCCTCAGGCCAATAAAATGTCAGTTTCTACAGAAGTTTTGCCGCCCCACATTCGTCAGCCTGGGGCATGGTTTCAGGGGAAAAGCTGTATAAACATGGATTTCACACAGTGTGGTTCCTTTCTTTTGAAGGTTGATTCTCTTTTATCTTTTGCTTGTTTTGTTACTCTCCCATGTCTTAAAGCAGATTTCTAAACATGTGCTCACAGTTTATTATTTGTATCAACAGGAGGATGAGTCTGATAAAAAGTATTCTGCCCTGTTTCAATATGATTTGTTTTTGAATTTTGTCATAATTATGTCTATTTTTCTGTGGAAACACTCCAGCCCCTTTCCAGCTCCCCATTCATCTCACTGAGAGCCACCTCCATCCAGCAATAAGATCCTCCACATTTACTATCCTTCAACTTGTCCGTATGACCTGATTCTTCCTGGACTCCAGACAAGAACCTGGGTACCAAAGAGGCACTGAGCTGGTTAACACTTAAGCTATCTGCAGATGGCAGAGCTAAAGGAGCACTGTAACACACCTACTGGGGCTTCAGGAATTGCAGGCACCCACCTCTAGATGCTACCATGGGGCCAGAACCCAAAAGTGCTGGCCCTGGCTCCCACACCTGTCCGTCTTCATGCTCCCCCTCCCATAGGGTTTGAGTGCGTGGCAGCCCAACAGATGAGCGGATCAGGGAACTCTCCTGTTTCAATTTAATTACTCTCCCTAGAGAACGTTGCTTTTTAGCAACTGAAGGGCCCTGCTTTCTTCATTATACTTTCCTAAATTCTACTTATCTTTGAGTATCCATTCAGTTCATGCCTTCTGAATTTTCCGAGCACTGAACCTATTCCACCTCCTTTGGGTAGGGTTTTCCCTCGTGACTTATCAATTAACACACATTCCAAGATGTGCAGAGGATGAACTAGTATGTTTGGAAGGCAACTGAGATGAGGATGGGAATAGAAAAGAGGTGGCCTCCCAAAATACTTTTAAAGCTGGTATGGTTACAAGCAGATATTGGGAAGCTGCTTCTTTTCTGGTATACAACTCAAACTAACTGTGTCCTGTCTCATTTTATAATCACTTCATATGAGTATAATATTCTTATCACAACAAGATCAGAAGATTCTTGAGGGCAAATATCTTGTCTACTTCTCTTCCCATAGCACTGAACATAGTGCCTTCCACAAAGATAGAAGTTTATTTGATGTGTTCCTTTGCATTTTAACCACTTGGCTGAATCTCTAAGTTTTCTTTGCTAATTTTTCAAACAGTGTTTGTCCAAACTTTCGTCATAGTAAAGAGAATGAAGATACACCCTGAAAATTTATAATTTGGCCTAAGCTTAATTATCCAACCACATTTCACACTATTCTGCTTTCTCCCTCACTAACTCTGCTCTTGCTCTACTGGTCTTCTCTCAGTATTTAAACACACAGGAATTCCTGCTTCAGAGCCTGTGCACTTGCTATTTCGTTTACCTAGAATGGACATGGCATGGTTAGCTGTTTCTCGTCACATAGGTCTCAGATCAAATGGTCATTCCACAGAGAGGTCTTACCAAAGCATCCTGCTCCCTTAAATCTGACCCAAATACTCTCTTGTTCAGTACTCTGTTTTCCTTTTTTATATTATTATTATTTTAAGACAGAGTCTCACTCTGTCACCCAGACTGGGTGCAGTGGCGCAGTCTCTATTCACTGCAACAATTGCCTTCCGGGTTTAAGCAATCCTCCCGTCTCAGCCTCCCAAGTAGCTGGGACTACAGGCAAACACCAAAATGCCTGGCTAATTTTTATATTTTTTGTAGAGACAAGGTTTTGCCATGTTGCCCAGGCTGATCTCAAACTCCTAGGCTCCAGTGATCTACCTGCCTCAGCCTCCCAAAGTGCTGGGATTACAGATATGAGTCACTGTTTTACTTTCTTTTTAGCACTTACTAGTAACTAAAAGTATCCTCTTACTATTTGTTTGTGTTTATTGCCTATCTTCTCATGTTAGAACCTAAGGTCCATGAGGGTAAGGAATTTTGTCTCATTCACATCAGTGTCCCAAATGCCTAGATCAGTGCCTAAATGAACAGTTGTCACCCTGTGTGCTATCTTGAAAACAATTTGAGATAGATACACATGTCAATGTCCTTAATGGTAAATTGATTTCAGTGAAAAATGGCTCAGAGGTAGAGGCTACAGAGATGTTTTTAAAGAATAAACAGGGCCGGGCACAGTGGCTCACACCTGTAATTCCAGCCCTTTGAGAGGCTGAGGCGGGAGGATCACGGGGTCAGATCGAAATCATCCTGGCTAACACGGTGAAACCCCGTCTCTGCTAAAAAAATACAAAAAGTTAGCCAGGCGTGGCGGCGGGCGCCTGTAGTCCCAGCTCTCAGGAGGCTGAGGCAGGAGAATGGCGTGAACCCAGGAGGCGGAGCTTGCAGTTAGCCGAGATCATGCCACTGCACTCCAGGCTAGGCAACAGAGCAAGACTCCATCTCAAAAAAAAAAAAAAAAAAAAAGAATAAACAGATCATTCGTTTAAATTTAATTCCATCCAATGAGATCACAGGTTAGAAGATGTACCAATGAGAAAAACTCAGTTCTTACAACAACTCTGTGAGATAGACATACTATAATAATCTCCATTTTATGGATGAGGACACTGAGAGAAAAGGCTAGATAAAGACTTAAGTAGGTTGAGTTGGCTGAAGTTGTAAAGCCAGTAGGTGACTAAACTGGGAATGAAAACCAGGCAGTTTGATTTCAGTCTGTGGTTATGGCCACTGTGCCTCATCTGCATTTAGGAGTGCAAAGTGTATTCACTTCAGTTCTCTCATGTATTTACCACGCAAATCTAGCATGATTACTTTACATATGCTTTTACAAATGGTTTAGAATAAACAATAATGGACTTGGGGTTGAGTTCCAGGGTATATTACTAATCAATATAACCCACAATCTAACTTCTTCATTCCTTAATCCCTGAATATGTAAAATGAAGGCTTGGTTGAGTCTTATTAAAGATAAACTAATATTTTATTAATTGTTTTGAAGTTATGAGAGCCCTGGACATCATGATGCTGATAAATTTAACAAGAATATTATTAGGAATATTTAATATCTTACCTGGACTTTATTCATCTCCAATTTGTTCTTCTCATTGGCACTCTGGTCTTGTTTGCTAGCTCCCTTTTTCTGAGGGCCTTTCCCAAAGAAGATGTAATTTACAAAGGCATACTCCAGCAGAGCCAGGAACACAAACACAAAGCAACCCATCAGATAAATATCAATCGCTTTGACATAAGGGATCTTTGGCAAGGTCTCCCTGAGGTGGGTGCTGATGGTTGTCATTGTAAGCACTGTCGTGATTCCTGTGAAAGAGAAAGACAACGCTTAGCTAAAGGCACCACTATTAAGTTCCTTTTTCAAGATTGAGAGGACAGATGCCATTTGCCATTTCCTTATTCATGCCCCTGAGTGATCACAGTAGCATGATAAACCACTGGGCAAAAAGGGCAGATATTTTGAAAGACAAGGCATTAGCCTCCCTACATAGTCCATTAATGAATCATAAAATAGAATGTGTAGTTAATGAAGGGTTGAAAACATGTTTTTTAATTGCACAAAATAAAAACAAAAGCAGATGGAAAAGCAGATCAAAATCCCATTGAAATCCTACTATTGAATGTCACTCACTTTATTACATGACCACATTTTTTTTCTTCCTTTTCTCAGCATCTCATTCATTGTGCTCCTAAATTTGTCTTTGTGATACTAATCCCTATAGCATCCTCTACCAAATTGAAAGCTGCTGACCAGTTTGAGATCTACTTCATTCCATGAATCAACAGGACACCCAAATTACAAGGTCAGTATTGCATTTTAAAATAATTATGTGTAATTCATAGCAAAACATCACCAAAAGAGGAAACATGAGAAATGTCATAATTTGTATCAAGTGCTTGATTTATGTATATTTTACATTTACTATTATCTTGTTACTTTGATATTTCAAATATTATCTATTTTCTTGGTTCCAGAACCTAGCATGAATTAGTTCCGTGATGTCAGAAAACAACTTCTTAAAAGTTTGAACTTGGATTTGTTAAAGAAGTTTAAGACTATAAGCTCATAAAGGACAGATTGTGTTTTATTTACTTTATTAAATATAGCATTCTTAATAGTATAACGTTTGCTTAGCTGTATAACATATTTTGTGGTGATGATGGTGATGATGAAGTGATAACTGCGAAAAGCAAGAAGTGAAAAAGAAGTCAGAATCTAGTGTAGATATTTGTTCTGCATACTAATATTATACATTTGTATAGTGTTGTACATTTTTAAATAATTACAGTTATAAATTATCCTATATGGCTGTCATAACAGCCTGAAAATGATAAGAAGTGTATATTATTCTCATTTTATAACTGGGTAAACAGAAAATCTGAGATTAGTTATTTTGTTTTAGGCCACCCAGTGAGGGTCAAAAGAGCACAGAAATGTTACACAATAGCATTTAAAATAAGCAATGAGATGAAAAGGTAAAATCGAAAATTTGATAGAGGCTCTTAAAAATAAAGTCAGAAAGTATGGAATAGATAGTAAAGACAAAGGAAAACTTCCAAAGGGAATGGGAGGTAGCAAAATGAAATGAAGGAAAAAATAGTTTCGCATTCATTTGCCAATCAGATTATTCTAGATGTATATTCCCGGATTTGACTATTCAACTTTTAGAATAACAGATAAAGCAGGAGGTCAGGACTGCCAGACAAAAAATTAAAGTGGTTCAGATCAGTAATAAATTCTAATGTGCTGGGCTGATATAAAATGCTATAATGAGTGGTCTTTCTTATTTCTTTAAAAAAATCTTTAAATTTCACCTGATATAACTCTAGCTAATGTGCTTCACAGAAATGAATGAGTCACTTACAAATTCGCCAGTTGCATTTCTGCTTCTACTCCTTGTTTTACATTTTTATACAAAAAGTGTTAGTAAATGAATGCCATTTTAAATTACATGTTTTAAAATATCTCAAGTTTTACAGTCCAAAGAATAGCTTAAACAAGCACCTTTATATACTAACATCTCTAATATCTCTAATTAAAATAGTATTAGCTTTGAGGATAGAAGAGTAAAGAAAACCACAATTCATAAACTTACTAGTTATTATTCTCTGCTGTGGACACCATCCACTGTTTTTTTCTTAAGTGTAGCATATAGACATAACAATACTCATGTTCAAGTAATATATGCAGATACATACGTGTGATACTATTATTTGTTTGCTTTCTTTAATCTTAGGTTGTTCAAAGATTGATAAAGTGCTACAAACAAACACTTGACTTTGTGAGCTTTATGTATTCAGTCATTACAAGTAAGCTGTAGTGATGGCAATTAGTGTAGCTGTGAACAGGTATGCTGATCATCTAGTCCAGCTTAATAGTCTCCGAAATGAAGAGATGAAATATGTTAGCTTAGCCAGAAATGTTATGTGTGTGAGTGTATGTGTGTGAGAGAGAATTTGCCCCAGAAAGAAATAACTGAAATGGCTGTAGGATCAGACAGTGACACAGACTTGCACATCCCCAGATTCACCAGACAGACCTTACACATCCTAACCTTCCAAGGAATGCTTTAAAGTCTCAAACATAGCCCATCAGCTTTCAGCAATTAATTAACCATGGCAGAATTAGTTCTAAATTTTGTTCCCCCAAGAAGGAAATCATTTTTATTCTGTCTTGACCACAGATTATTAATATAGCTGATGAATTATCTGTGCCTTATTCAAGTGTAATAAACTCCATTTAAAGGAGACTCGGCTTAATACGATTTAATTTTAGTTAGTATCCAAAGGATAGTATTTCTCAGCAATTGACAGCTTGTTGTTAGTCACATGGTTTAGCTTTCTCCAAATTCATTTGAAAATAGTGCATTGTGTATGTTCTTCACTGTTAAAAACAGGGATTAAAGAGGAAGTCATCCCAAAGTTAGTAAAAATTAGCGTAATGAGAATTTAAAAATATATTACATGAGACACTTAAGTAGTGCTAGATATAGTCCAAGATTTTTGTTTGTTTGTTTTGGTAAAATGCTAAAAAGACAGTACATTGTAGAATATTCATTGTAGACATGCTTACATTTAGAAGTCTTATATTCAGGGACTCTTAGGATGATCTAATTCTTTGGCTTGCTATAAGAGAGCCCTTCCCTCTAATTCCTGATATTGGTTATTTGTTTGAAAATAAAACCTGTTAGCTCTCTGCAGTGCTGAGAATGTATTACCTAGTGCGACTCTGGCTGCAGATGCATCATAGTTGATCCAAAAAGACACCCAGGATAGAATTGTAATCAGTGTAGAAGGCATGTAGGTTTGCAAAATGAAGTAACCAATGTTTCTCTTTAGACGAAAACTTAGTGACAGTCGTGGATATGCTCCTGAGTTGAGAAACAAAAGACAAGTAATCAGACCATCATTTGGTTGGAACCATCTTCTTCCTTTCACAGCACCTCTAGTACCTTTTGGGGGAAACAACCTCACCTGTTGTGAACTCCACCTTCTTAGACACCATCTTGTAGTCAACAATTGAAAATTGAGGAAGTTCGATTTTATTAACACCAGTTACTGCCCCCTCTCCTCCATTCCAGTAAAACTCTATGTCATCAGTAGTATAGCCATCTGAAACCAATAAACACAGCACGGTTAAATAAAGTTTAGGAAATCATTTTGAATACCACCTGGGAGCTAGAGGAAAAATTCCCAGGAAAAAGGTGGTAAGGTGGCATTGCTTTAAATTAGGGTGGTATGCAGGTCTCATGTGGAGTGCTATTTCTGATGATTTGGTAGTAGCTGCATTGAAAGAATGGGTGCATCTGGCTTTAGTGGACTTAAGCTCTGGATCATTTAGTGATAGTCACCGATGCAATTTATTCTTATTGTATCTACTAATGTTCATTCCTTGGTTAAATTGGGGGATGGCTGAATTCTAGGTACCTGGACATGGCTTTGGCTATGTGCTACTTAACAACAACAATCGCACAGCAAGTAATAATAATTGAGCACATATTTGTTAAAAGGATAACAGGTAGTGCGAAGAGATGAAGTATAATGAAAGACTAAGTTTATATATAGCCATTACATGATTAAGACATTAAAAACTGCATATTTCTTTTAGAAAATTTGGCAAGCTTTTATTCATATCCTTTGATTATAGCTAATATTATTATAGCTAATATATGGGTAAAAGTCTTAGGACTATATAAATTCTTGATAATGCTTTTATATCTTTATACTTATGAGAGTGCACTTTAGTTAATTTAAGGGGAATGTGTAGGGAACTGTAGATTGTAGTAGAAGGGTCTGTCCTCAGGCCTTCAGCATGAAGGCCCTACGCTGATGGCCTAATCTCTTCCTCTTCCCACTCTGTTCCCACTTGGCAGTATTCTAGCTGGGTTATCATTATGTGTAAGAGTAACTTGCTGAGTTGATGGGTGCAGCACACCAACATGGCACATGTATACATAGGTCACAAACCTGCACGTTGTGCACATGTACCCTAGAACTTAAAGTATATATAAAAAAGAGTAACTTGCATAAAAAGAATGTACGGATATATTTTAAAAATCTAAAAATAATTTAAGGCATATTTTACGACCACATTTTTCTCTACCAGCTAGAGACAAAGAAGATCTTTCTAAATTCATTTTCTATTTAGGTTCACCTCAAATAAAAAAGCATAAAATCTTTTTTCCACTAGAATTGCTGGGGCTAGTGTTTCAAAGGTAACCACATAAGCTCTTTGTAGTGGACATCATGCTGACCTACTTTTGATTAAAGCCAGTAATACCTTTTCAAGAGATAGAAAATAATATATTTGATATTTGGAAGTTGAATGCCAGGTGCCAAAGGGTCACCATCAACTTGTCCTTGCCAGAATGTAAGAAATTTTAAGCTATTCTTCCCCATTCCGCTTCCTGCTTTTAAAAAGGAAAACAAAACCATCTTAATTTTACTGCTTTAAACTGACTTCCAGATATAATCACCAGTGTTTGAAAGACTGAGACCCTCTTTACTATTGGACTTAGAATATTATCTACAGCGGACTAATTGGCATATTGGGGATTTTATGAAGTTTGGGTATGATTCTGTAAGACTGATTCTAAATATCTCTTTGAGAATTTGATTAAAACCTGCCAATAAAATCCACAGAAAAATATAGATAGATAGATAGATAGATAGATAGATAGATAGATAGATAGATAGATAGATAGGATTCGATGGCAATTTCAGGACATCATGGATCCCATTCATGGAGTTTAGAATACAAAACTCCTGTCTCAGTTGAAATGGTTAGTGGCAATATGACAGCTTAAATTCAACCCAGACTTCTTCCTTTCCAATTCCAATTCAACCATGAGTTACCTCTCCTAAGCCCAGCAGGAAGTAGTATCTGGGGAATGTGAGTTCTCAGCCCTGCCTGGATCCAGTGGACAATGGCATCATGGGATTTTCTTTCCCCCCTCAGCTACTAGAGAGAACCTAGGGACTGGTGGCATGGAGTCCTTGGGTGGGGATTAGAACAGCGGGATCCAAGAAGATAGCTGGGTGAAGGGGCTGTTGGGCCTACTAAAGAAGGAAGCATATTACCACCTGTGTGATTGTCTGGAGGAACTCGTCATCTCAGACCTTTAAGGGGATGTGGGAAAGTTAAAAAGGTGGGTTGAGAAATCACCATACTGTTTTCCATAGATATTGTGCTAATTTACATTGCTACCAACAGAGTATAAACGTTTCCATTTCACAACATCTGTTGTTTTTTGACTTTTTAAAAATGCAATTCGATTTAGCAATCCCACTGCTGGGTATCTACTCAAAGGAAAAGAAGTCATTATATATAAAAGACTGCATTCATATGTTTATCACAACACAATTTACAATTGCAAAGAAATGGAACCAACCTAAGTGCCCACCGACTGATGAATGCATAAGAAAAATGTGGCATATATATACACCATGGAATACTACTCAACCATAATGACGTGAACCCGGGAGGCGGAGCTTGCAGTGAGTGGAGAGCGCGCCACTGCACTCCAGCCTGGGTGACACAGGGAGACTCAGTCTCAAAAAAAAAATAAAAAAAAAAAAATAATAATGTATTTTGCAGCAACTTAGATGGAGCTGTGGAGGCCATTATCCTAGATGAAGTAACTCAGGAACAGAAAACCAAATATTGCATATTCTCATTTATAAGTGAGAGCCAAGCTATGGGTAGGCAAAGGCATACACAGTGGTGTAAGGAATGTTGAAAGACTCAGAAGTGGGGAGGCTGGGAGGAGGGTAAGGGATTAAAAAAATCACCTATTAGGTACAATGTACACTATTTGGGTAATGGATACATCAATAACCCAGACTTCACCACTATATAATTCATCCATGTAAGTAAAAACCTCTAAAGTTACTGAAAAAGACAGAGAGAAGAAAAGGCAGGTTGGGTCACTGAATGAGAGACAGAGAGAGAGAGAGAGAGAGAGAGAGAGAGGAGACTACCTCCTGGTGCATCAGCAGGGGATGACAACTTGGCTGGAGCTCACCATGCTTTCCATCTAGAACTTTGTTCCTTTTAAGGTGACCTGGCAGCTGGGTCCAAACCCCAAAGAATATGCAAGAAAAAATAACAATCCATATAAAAAACCCAGTAGCCCTAGAGAAGGAAAACAAGTGGAAAACTAGATTAGGTATCATCTAGTGAAAAGAACTGAGGAGGAAGCAAATAATAGCTTGAACTCTCCATTCCTCACTCTTGGTAAAAATATAGGAACACTTACAGATATCTGATTACAGCACAGGCAACTTTTTATTCTAAAACTCAAGGTTTTTTTTTTTTTTTTAAATATACGAAATGTCTTAGATAAATTGAAGAAAAGATGGCCACCGATGAGGCCAGAATTTGTGGCTTGGAAGACAATTTTATACATATTTGGAAAGCATGAAGAAACTATAAAAATTTTGAACGACTCATCTAGGAGATCTAATATATGAATAGTGGGCATTCCTGAAAGAAGGGCGTTATATAGACAAGGAGCCATAATAAACAAAAAGAAAACAGAAATTCCCCAGAGCTTGCTAAATAAATTATTTTTCAGATTGGCAAGCTCACTATATCAGGTCATCCCAATGTCGTTCCTAAACTCCAAGGGTGTAATAATAGTCTTACAATCTTCCAGACAGAAAGTACAAGGTGTTTTCAAAGGAAAAAGTATTGAACTTCTTATACACAACGCTGGAAAGAAAAGATTATAGAATGACATCCACAGAACATCTAGAATATAGGCATAAAGGACAGCAACTCTGAGACCCAAAAGTACTACTCCCTGCCAAAATACACTTCTTTCCAGAGAAGATATACAAAGATTCAGAGGACATATCATTTAGGTACCTGCTTGAGGAAACTTCTACGGAAGACTCTAATCAAACAGATGAATCAGGACAGATAAGGGAATCCACCTTAGAAACAGAGGAACTGTAAAGAATCATGACTAATCAATTCCATGCAAATTAATTTGAAAATGTGGATGAAATGGGTAATTTTCTCAGAAGAAAGCATTTTTTTAAAGCCCAAATAGGAGGCACAGAAAATCAAAACAGCTTGATTTCATCCCTACAAACAAACAGATATTTAAGAACTGATAATTCTATTGCTACTTAAACAGCTCCAAAGCATAGGCTAAGAATGAAAATTTCTAAATTATTTTCATAAAGTAAGCAGAACATATTAGCAAACAAAATCCAGCAGTACTTTAAATAATAAAGCATAATCAATATGGTTTATTCTAAGTTTAATATTAGAAAATCTAGTAATATACTTCATTATAATAACAAATCTAAGGAGAAAAAAAACCATATGATTATTTATACAGATACTAAAATGGCATTTGATAACTTTCAACACCAGTTCTCTCTTTTAACAAAGCAAACAACATTATTCAATAAATATGAGAAAGAGCCAGGCTCCGTGGCTCTCGCCTGTAATCTCAGCACTTTGGGAGGCTAACGTGGGCGGATCAAGAGGTCAGGAGATGGAGACCATCCTACCTAACATGGTGAAACCCTGTCTCTACTAAAAATACAAAAAATTAGCCGGGCATGGTGGTGGGCGTCTATAGTCCCAGCTACTGGGGAGGCTGAGGCAGGAGAATGGCGTGAACCCAGGAGGCGGAGCTTGCAATGAGCCGAGATAGCACCACGGCACTCCAGCTGGGGTGACAGAGCGAGACTCTGTCTCAAAAACAAACAAACCAACAAACAAACAAACAAAAATTTAGCAGGGCATGGTGGAGGGCGCTTATAATCCCAGCTACTCGGGAGGCTGAGGCAGGAGAATCACTTATACCCGGCAGGCGGAGGTTGCAGTGAGCGGAGATCATGCCACTGCACTGCACTCCAGTCTGCGTGACAGTGCGAGACTCCGTCTCTCTCTCTCTCTCTCTGTCTCTCTCTCTCTCTCTCTGTCTCTCTCTCTCTCTCTGTCTCTCTCTCTCTCTCACTCTGTGTGTGTGTGTGTGTGTGTGTGTGAGAGAGGAGAGAGAGGAGAGAGGAGAGAGAGAGAGAGAGAGAGAGAGAGAGATCACTCTTTCATGCCATGAACTATTGTAAATCTATATTTCCTTAACATGGGAAGA